GACTTACATATAGTATTGTTACACAGTCGACTTACATATACTGCGTAACAATACTCGACGTGAATAAACTGTTTAATAATACTCGACTTACATATACTGCGTAACAATACTCGACGTGAATAAACTGTTTAATAATACTCGACGTGAGTAAAGTGTTTAATAATATTCGACGTCAGTAAACTGTTTAACAATACTTATGTAAATATGCTGTTTAATAATACTCAACATGAATAAACTGTTTAACACTACTCGACGTAAATATAATGTTTTACAATACACGACATAAATATACTGTTTAAAATACTCGACGTATATAAACTGTTTAACAATAATCGACGTAAATATGCTGTTTAACAATACTCGACATAAATATGCTGTTTAACGGTACTCGACATAAACGTGTTGTTTAATAATACTCGACGTAAATAAACTGTTTTTATTTTATTTACAGCAAACTCTCGGCCTCATTTAACATCTTACTTCTAAGACGTTCCTGTAATGGAATCGAACGTTCACAGAAAAGAATATTATTTAGCTGGAGAAATATGTATTAGAGCTCTTCATGTTTAAATCTCACGTATCGTGTAAGGTCAAACTTTGAAATTAAATCATCGACAAAGTAGTTGTTTTTTTCACGCAACAAATGTTTTATTATTTCTTGAACTCTCGCTACTTGGTTTAACTTTTACCTTTATTATTATTATTATTATTCAGAGTGACACTGCCCGTATAAACATCAGCGTAACCAATGTTAACGATAATGATCCAGTTTTCGCTGAGACACACTACACGTTCGTAGTGAAAGATTCGGAGATACGAACTGGAATGTTGATAGGAAAAGTCAAAGTAAGTAGCTCAAGCAAGAATAATTTACATATCCAAAAATTACGATATTTTTTTTTTTCGTTCCTAGTTACAAACGTGGTAAACTAAGTCATTTAAATCAGCGTATTCAACCGTTGTATTTGTACAGCTCGTCTGTATGTTCATGACTAATTTCATTTGAGTCATACTGTAGTCGTGTTGAATATCTAGGTGAAATATATTTAGTTGTATATATAAATAAAAGGTTGAAAAAATTACGATATCTTCGGACAGGTAACTGATGAAGATATCGATGACATCGTACACTTGAAGATCAAAGGAAAGTTTTCCAAGTAAGTGTTTGTTCTTGTAAAACACTTAACTAATTCTGGAAAAGTACTTTAACTTCATTAACAGTCGTATGCGGTCCATTTGATTTGTCTGTGTTTTCTAAGACTATTGGCCTAACAACTGAATAAGTAAGCTATCATTACACCGAAACTTTGAGTATGTATGAGATTGAAAAATATTGTTTAATAAGTGAAAAAAAAAGTTTGTTTTCTTCTTCCTCTTTTTTCTTTTGCAAATCTGAAGTTGATTGCACGTGATAAAGAATTATGTTTATTCAAAAACTAATTATGTTTATTTAAAGAGCTCATTTCATGTTCTCGAGCAACTGATTATATAGTACTAAAAATTAAAACGGTAATATTTTATAACTAAATTTTCGACCTTAATCCCGAACTGTACTCCTTAGCATTCATTTGGTCACATAATCATTCCAACTGCCTGAGCAGTGAAACAGTTATTTTTAACTCTAGGTTAGGGTTACCGTCTTTATAGGATGGGTAGCACATAAAAAAAGACGTCGGAACAACCGTGTATTCTCGTAGCCATGTACGTGAGACGTGCACATTAGGGGTATAATTGTAAAGACCATATCAAATATTTCCCATTCACTTTTAAGTATAGCATTTAATATTTTAACAGTCTTCAAATTCTAATTCATCAGCATTTGAACTGGTGAAGGTATTTGTTATTGCTAGTAGCCTATACAATTACATAACTCTTACTAGTAATTAGTTATTAGCTTGGTTTTATTATAACTCTTACTAGTAATTAGTTATTAGCTTGGTTTTTATTATAACTCTTACTAGTAATTAGTTGTTAGCTTGGTTTTATTATAACTCTTACTAGTAATTAGTTGTTAGCTTGGTTTTATTATAACTCTTACTAGTAATTAGCTATTAGCTTGGTTGTGTTATAACTCTTACTAGTAATTACTATTAGCTTGGTTATGTTATAACTCTTACTAGTAATTAGTTGTTAACTTGGTTTTATTATAACTCTTACTAGTAATTAGTTATTAGCTTGGTTTTATTATAACTCTTACTAGTAATTAGTTGTTAGCTTGGTTTTATTATAACTCTTACTAGTAATTAGTTGTTAGCTTGGTTTTATTATAACTCTTACTAGTAATTAGTTATTAGCTTGGTTTTATTATAACTCTTACTAGTAATAAGTTATTAGCTTGGTTTTATTATAACTCTTACTAGTAATTAGTTGTTAGCTCGGTTTTATTATAAGTCTTACTAGTAATTAGTTATTAGCTTGGTTTTATTATAACTCTTACTAGTAATTAGTTATTAGCTTGGTTTTATTATAACTCTTACTAGTAATTAGTTATTAGCTTGGTTTTATTATTAGACACTAGATACATTACTACGTTACGGCTACTGATCTTATTCCGTTTTCAGAAACGTTCTAGAAAGGACTGTGTTTATGGTAGTGTGTTATCCTTTCACCAGGGGTTTCTCCTATTAGGACTTGAATTAACTAACTATATTTCGTTGCTAGGTTGACTGGGTGTATAATCAGTTAGGTGGATATAAGCAGCTTCTTTCATCTTTCTTGTTCTTGTTTATATTCAATTCTATTGTATGTTCTCTGTCATGATAGGCTATTACAGGCTATTTATTTCTGTCATGTTCGTGAATTTTAAAGATGTTGTAAATGGTGTTTTTGCTCTCCATCGGGTGTTTAGGTGGTTTAACATAATATAATGTTTAGAGACAAAAAGGGACCTATTGGTCCATCTAGGCTGTACCATCCTCTAGACTAAACTAGAATTTTAAAGATGTTGTAAATGGTGTTTTTGCTCTCCATCGGGTGTTTAGGTGGTTTAACATAATATAATGTTTAGAGACAAAAAGGGACCTATTGGTCCATCTAAGCTGTACCATCCTCTAGACTAAACTAAAAGCATTAAATAAAAATAAATAAAAAAATCTTAAAGCCAACCCTTATCATTCATATAGTTATCAAGCTTTATCTTAAACTAACTTAAATTTACTGCTTCTACAACATCCGAAGGCAACCAGTTCTAGAGGCCAACCACCCTGTCTTAACTGAAGATGACTCCTACCTAGCCAAAATGTATCATTGTCCTTAGTCTTACTATTCTCATTGTTAAATATGAAAAAAGATGATACATCAACACTATCAATTCTCTATACAATCTTAAACACCTCAATCACCCCCCCCCCCAACTCTTCTTTTTTTCAAACTAAAACAATTAGAGAGATTTCAACCTCTCCTCTTATGACAACCCCTCCATCCCAGGCACCATTCTAGTAACCCTCCTCTGAACTCTTTCCAATAATTCAATCTCATTCCTAAGGTAAGGAGCCCAATAC